AGGGAATAAAATAACATTCAACCCTATCCCTGTTAAAATAGGAGGAACGCCCCAAGATTCTGGTGTGCACACTCATGCCGGGGCTTACGTTGTTTTTCTAAGTCACCAGGACTGGGATTCGGACCTGGCTGGCCGCGTGGAATCCAGCTCCCTTCACTGCTGTGCTGGGGCCCAGCCACTACACGTATCACTGTCTCAAGCATGTATACATTGCATGAGTATATACATACATACATGTTATATACATGGGTGTGTATACATGCATACACTGGGTTGTCAGAAGAGTCCTGATGCTTTTTCGCACAGAAAACCTTAGAAAAAGATACATCATGACTTTTCCAACGACCTAACATGATTGTACATGCTTCTGCATCTCATTTTTTTTAAAAGAATTACTTTGTTTATTCATTTGTTTTTATTTTAATTTGACCAGAGAGAGAGACACACACACACACAGAGAGAGAGAGAGAGAGAGAGAGAGAGAGAGAAGGAAAGTGAGGAAGCAAGTTGCCAGGTCCAGGGCGCGAACTGTGGTTGGCCATGTGGGAGTGTCCAGCACCTTAACCACCACGCCACCTGCTGGTCCCTACATCTCGTGTTTTTCGGTTAACACCGTGTCCTGGGGCTTCTCTCAGTAGGCACCGTTCCCGGCGGACACATGTCGGATGTCTGTCTTTGTTACAGACCTGCCGCGGTGACTGTCCCCCCGCCATGCTCCCCTCATGCAGACACCGAGCTGTCCCCGTGGGGTACGGTTGAGTACACCCTGGCAGGCTGACACCCTGCGCTGACCGTCACCCGCGCTGCCTTTACCACCGGCAGAGACGAGGCGGGGCAGGGAGCTTCCCCCTCAGGACGTTCGCTTTGGTGTTTGTGCATGGTGAAGGAGCGGTTTGCAGTTTACCCACACCGATGATGGTGATGATTTTAGGTTTTGCTATAGGGCACGTGCACTGGCCAGAGAGAAAGTAAGAAATCACCCCCAGGAGAGATGGCCACGCCGCGGTCCCTTCTCATTCTCCTGTCAGCCTTTTGGGCACACACGCGCACATGCCCAGTGTGATTTTCAAGCCACCAGGCCTGGGGCTTGAACCATGGTCAGCCATGTGGGGGAGTCCAACGCCTTAACCACCACGCCACCTGCTGGCCCTTGCAGAGGCTTTTTGACATGTATTTTCCTGACACTGACTCGCCCTGCCCAGGCTGGTCCCTAACTGCTCATGGTAAGCAGGTCCCTGCTTTGCAGACACCTCTGCTAGGGGCACACAGCACCTGCATGGCCTGCTGGTTAAGAGAGCTGGAGGGGCCGGCAGCTGGCGTGGTGGGTAAGGCATTGGACTCTCCCACATGGCCGTCCAAGGTTCAAGTCCTGGACTTGGCAGCTTGCTTCCACACTTTCCCTCTCTCACTCCACCCCTCTCTGGTCAAATTAAAATAAATAAATAGCTAGAGCTGGGTCCTACGTGGGTGAGTTTGAGTCCTGGACCTGGCAGCTCGCAAAACCTGCTGGTGCATGTGTGTGTGCCCAAACTCCAGAGAGGAGGGAGCTGGGGGAGAGGGCAGTGCAGGTGAGCGTGCCCGCGAGGGCTGCTTTCTCCCTCTCCCTTCAGACAGAGTTTTAAGAAAGTGATCTGGCCTGGGTAATGTGTAATTTAAGGACTGATAGTGCCAAGAGTCCAGTGAACACGGCAGGGACTCCCTCGGGGCCCCCTCAGCTGGCAGTCCGAGGACAGCTGGGTTGGGGGCAGTCTGTGTGGGCGGCTGTCGCAGCACAGGGCACTCCGGGCTGTAGGGTGGGACACGGATGAGGGCCGTTGTCAGCGCTGGCAGTGGAGGATCACCCTGAGCCGCACCGCAATTAACCCTGCCTTTAATATCAGCTAGTCCTTGCCTGAGAGCTGGGAGGGTGTGGAGGAGAGCGGTAATTACTCCGGTCTCAAGGGTACCCGCAGGGCCGAGCTACCCGCCTGCGGCACGGCCTGCAGAGTAATCACATCTGCCATCTGTGGGGTGCGGAAGGCAGGCCTGGGGCTGGCACAGTGTGGCCGCGGCTGCTGCTCACACGCTGACCCGCGAAGCGCGCCGGCCCCAGGAGTGCACACCGGCCTGGGCAGGGCGCCCATGCTCCTGCTGCCCGGGAAGGCCGAGGGCGGCATGGTGGGTGAGGCCCTCCGAGGGCGCCTGTCTTATCCCCTCTCACGGGACGCAAATGAACGCACTTCACTTAGAGACGGTGCACACCTGGCCCTCGTCCTGCCCTGCGGCCCTGCCTGGGCCACCCCAGAAAGCACTCAACCTTCCCCGGGCGTCAGGGCTTCTCAGTGACAGTGAGGACCATCGGACTTGGCAGGTCTCCTGCTTATGTACTTTCAAGTGGTGTTATTAATTTGTGACTTGCCTAAAACCTTCAGAAATAAAAAGGACTCTCTGAGAGAAGCTCAAGTCCTGTCCTCAGCCCAGTGAGTCGGTTCCTCGTCGCCCTGATGCCGTGGTCACAGCACGGGCCCGTCTCTACGTCGATACCCACGCCTGAAAATCCGACGTGCTCTGCGGGGTCACTGTTTTAAGTGGGAAAATGAAAATGTTCCAAAAGCCCGCCTAGCACTCCCAGCTGGTGCCCTGATGTGTTAACACGCAGCAGAAACCGCTGGACGGGTAACAGCAGCATCTGGGGGCTGGGTGCCGAGAACCTCCGGCGTGCGTGTCCCTGCACTGCCGAGACGCGTGGTGTCGCGCCGTGCAAGGCAGCCTGACGCCGCAGCTCCAGCACGTCCCCGGGGCGCGGACGTCCCTGCACGCCGTCTCCTTCAGCAGCGATGAGCTTGGTAAACGGTCTTTGGGCATAGTGTGACAATTTTTATTTTTTAAATTATCAAAGCAGAATTCTGGTCACTATTTCATGTCAGTGGCAAAGTAGAGCCAAAGGAAGAGGAAGAATTAAGAATAATACCTGCATTCAAGGGGCTGGTGGGTTGTGTGGTGGTTAATGTGCTGGACTCCCACATGGCCAACTTGAACCATGGTTCAAGTCCCAGACCCGGCAGCTCGAAACTCACTCTAGGTCCATGTGTGTGCATGTGGGCCCAAAATCCCAGGAGGAGAACAGAGGAGAAGAGACTGTGATTGTGTGGTCATACCCTGTGGGGGTGATTGCTCATTCTCCCTGTCACTATCTTCCCTGCCCGCCCCCCACTCCAGCAATGTACCTTATGGCAAAAATCTAAAAATAAATAATAAAAGTAAATATATATTTATTTATAAATAAATAACAGACAAGCTGATGTTCCACTCAGGAAAGAATTCAAGAATGGACAGGGCATTTATTAGGATGAAAAAATGTCATAAACTCACCAAGAAAAGTCCACCAAGAACAAGCCTCGCGATCCCAGGCTTACACAGTCTGGCCCGGAGGTGCAGTGGTGAAGGCCCCAGATCCCACATGGCCAGCCCCAGGTCAAAGCCTGTCGCTGGTGACTTGGAAACATGCTGGGCGCACGGGCATGTATGCCCTGAACCCGGCAGGGAGGCATGGAGGGGAGGGACTGCAGCGTGACCAGGCCCTGCTGGGTGTCACGTGTTCTCTCTGGTGAACACGTGCCCTCTGGCAGTTAAAACAAAAACAAAAAAACAACCAAAATGTTCTAGGCTTATTTGAACTGGGCTTTACAGATAAGTACTATTTTTTCTTAAACTGATTTTTTGTGAGAGGTTTTCGCTATAGGGCGCGTACACTCGCCAGACAGACAGAGAGAGACATAGAGACAGAAAGCGAGAAATCACCCCGCAGGGAGGATGGTCACGCCGCAATCCCTTCTCCTCCATTCTCCTCTCAGGATCTTGGGCGCACATGCGCCTGGGGTGGTTTTTAAGCCACCGTGTCCGGGATGCGAACCGCGGTCGACTACATGGGAGTCCAGCGACATAGCCATTACGCTAACTGCTGGTTCCCTAAACTGATTTTTTTAAAGGCTTTTCCCATAGGGTGTGTGCACTTGCCAGAGACAGACAGTGAGAAGGAAAACGAGAAGTCACACCTCCCTCCCAGGGGGATGACCACGATGCAGCCCCTCTTCCTGCATTCTCCTCTAGGGATTTTGGGCACACATTCATATGCACCCAGCGTGATTTTCAAGCTGCTGGGTCTGGGACTTGACCTGTGGTCGGCCATGTGGGAGTCCTGCACCCTCAGCAGCATGCCAGCTGCCGGCCCCCTTGAGCTGATGTTTAAGGGTTGTGGCTCATGTAGGCCTCGCAGCGATTGGCTACGAAGCCAGCCGGGCGGGGTCGCAGGCAGCTGTCAACCTGTCTCCCCTTCCAGCCTCCTCTCTTCCTCACTAGCTCCTTACTTGTCAGCCGGGGTTTTGTTTCCATCTGAGAAAGGCTCACCTCTGGCCTGCAGAAGGCATGGCACTAGGGCCAGAGAGAGCAGCCAGCCGCTGTGGCGGGCAGGGCCCCGCACCCACGGCGCTCTTGTCCCGCAGTGTGGCTTCCTGCTGTGGTGCATGGCCCCCAGCCCTGCCAACGGGGCCGAGCTGCTGTACCGGCGCATCATCCGGCCCTTCTTCCTGAAGCACGAGTCGCAGATGGACAGCGTGGTGAGGGACCTGAAGGACAAGGCCAAGGAGACCGCGGATGCCATCACTAAGGAAGGTGAGACCTCAGAGACGCGGGTCTGCCACTGCCGGGCGAGCTCCAGAGGGGCTCGAGGGCTTGGGGAGCCGGACGCAGGTGGGCAGTGGGTGTGGGCAGGGACCCATTTGGAGAGCTCTGCGGAGGGCAGGGTGTGGGGGGTGAGAGGTGGCCTGCCCTGACCCTGCTCTGGACTGCACGCACCCAGCTGCAGTGGGCGTCAGCGCGGTCCCCACCGCCCTCAGTGTCTCCCAGCCCGCAGCGCTGCACCGCGCGCTCAGGATCCCAGAGTCCCTAGGAGCCGCTCGGTCCCTCCTGTCCGTAGTCCAGCCAGCAGCCTCTGGGGAGGTCACGTGGTCGCTCTGTCTGATCACTCCCACTGCCTGGCTTCCTGGTCCTCTTAGGTGACAATACTCGAGAATCCAATTTTAGTTGGTAGGTGCCTCCTCAACTGGGGCATGAGAGTAAAGTCAGTCAGGAGGAGCTTCCATGTTTAGACTCTTCCCGGAGCGTTGCATTCACTAGGAGTTTTGACAAAGGGCGAGTTAGGAGGGAGGCTGTCGCTTCCTTTGTTGGCTTTGTTCAGAAATCGTAATAGCGTGAAGGGAGAACAGCTGTCAGGCAGCTGGTCCCCGAGGTGGGGCTCCGTCAGGAACAGCTGCAGTTGGCAGGCCCCTCCAGGAGGCCCCTGTACCCCAGGCTGGACCTTGTAGCGTGTTCCTCACGCGGGGTCATCGGGAAAGAGGCCTCGCTCCCACACGTGGCAGAGCGCCTTCTCAGGGTGTGGTGTCGCCACCAACTCAGGCTTGTGCAGACGCCCCCATGACGGGGAAGGGCGGCCCCGGGAGAGCGGGTGTTCCTAGCACTGGGACAAGGACGAGGCTGGTCTGTCACCGCAGTATGTGATACGTACTGAAACCCCACAGGCCAGACCTGAGCTAGAGAGGAGGAACTTGACTGCACGAAGGGACTCTGCTCCTGAGCAGTCTTTCCCTTTGGATGCTTGAAAGACAGCAGGCAGGGCCAGCAGGTGGCATAGCGGCGACGTCGCTGGACTCCCACATGGCTGACTGCGGTTCGAGTCCTAGACCTGGTGGCTTGAAACTCATGCCAGGCACATGTGCATGTGTGCCAAGATCCAAGAGGAGAATGGAGGAGGGATTATGGGTGGCCATTCCCCCTGGGGGTGACTTCTCACTTTCCCGCTCATTGTCTCTGTTTCTCTCCGGTGAGCACACACACTCTAAGACAAAAACCTTAAAAAAAAAAAAAAGAGGGCAGACGGTTTAGTGACCCTGTCACATGGGCTAGGCCAGCTGGCCTCAGAGTTGGTGCTCTGAAGAGGTGCTTTGCCATGTCTGGAAGCCGCCTCGGCCCCCAGCACAGTCCTCGGGGTGCCCATCGCGGGGGCCGGCGGTGCCGCCTGGCAGAGCGCACTGCGCGACTTTGACGCGGTTCTCTTCCCCTCACAGCCAAGAAAGCCACCGTGAACTTACTGGGCGAGGAGAAGAAGAGCACCTGAGCCTCGGCTGCAGGGGCCGCTCGCGCCCGTCGGAGTCCCCATGCCGCGTTAGGGACTGTGCTGTAATCATCTTAATAATGTTGCCTTTGAGACATTTTTGATATATTGGAAAATGGAATGTGTTGTAAGGGTTTTTTTTTTTGCTTTTACTATCTGTATACATAGGGGGTGTTTTAATTTAAATGTAATGCAGTAGGTAGTGTCCAAAATTTTGAAATATATTTTATCTCTGGGGAGGAAAAGACCTATGTTATGATCCTGCAGGAAATATAAGCTTACAATAAACCTTGTACCCCACCGGCTCTGTACCTCCCGTGGTCACTCCGCATGCATTCCCTTGTACCTAACACTTAGGGTGAGCTTTGCGGCTCTGCTCCATTACGTAGTTTTACATAGCTCTTACATGTCTTTGACGTGTCTGTGCTCCCACACACACGGGAACGCTGCTGCCGGCTGGCGTGCGTAACGTCCGGGAGGACAGGAAGGCTGCGTGCTGCCCTCCCTCGCCGCGGGACAGGAGCTGTGCTGAGGCTGCGACCTGCTCAGCGCAACTGGAGACAACGAATGCAGACGAGCAATACTCAAACCAAGTGAGCAGCGAGGCTGCGTGGAGGTCGGCCTGGCTGTGCACCCACACTGGGCCGGGGAGCGGTCACTCGGAGAGCCGCGCGTGCCAGCACTGTGGGCCCCTGTCCCCGCGGAGCTGATGGCGCTGTCCTGCTTGCCTAGGCTTTAGAGTTGTCTCTTTTAAGATGCTAACATAGGGGACCAGCAGGTGGCATGGCGGTTGAGGCGCTGGACACTCCCACATGGCCAACTACGGTTCGAGTCCTGGACCTGGTGGTTTGCTTTCTCACTTTTTTTCTCTCTCTCTCTGTGTCTCTCTCTGGTCAAATTAAAATAAAATGAATGAATAAATAAAAGTAATAAATCATTCTTTAAAAAAAAATGATGCTAACATAGAAATCATTTCTGGTTTTACCTTCAAAGCTGAGTAGCAAGCCAGTTCTTGTTTCTTTCCCGATTTTCTTTGTAAACCAGCCTAAAGAAACTTCAAAGACTCGCCAGCTCTGCCGCAGACCTGCTTTTTCCTGTCGCTAGCCACAGCATGCCCTGGTGACGCCGGCCCCTGTGAGCAATTCTGGGCGAGGAAGAATGGACCTCTGCTGGCTGGCGGGGAGCTGTGGATCGGCCTCGCCTTGCTCTCTGGCGGGGCAGGTGAAACGCAGCGGCCTCCTTGGGTCACAAGCCAGAGTCACCTGTGCCCATTAAACGCCTTAGTTCTGGTGAAGTGCACGTGACGGTCACCTCATCACAACAGTCATGACGTGTTTTTTGCGTAGAAAAATACATTGTGGCCTTTCTGACGACCCAAGGCGTAGTGTTAAGTCCAGAGAGCTCGGAGAGTTGGCCGCCCCGCGTCTTGGCCGGCGGTCTGAGCCTCGCGCCGTGCTGTTGGGATTCCGCACAACTGGGTGACGTTAGGCCAAAACCAAGTGTTGGAGGGGGCTAACGCAGTTAGATGTCTAACCAAGACACTGCTGTTTAAGGGAAACGAAGAGGACTAGCTCTCTTTTAGACAATGGCCAGTAAAATCATGTCTCGTGACATGAAAACTATTAAAAATCTCACAAATAAGCAATAGTATTATCACCCACATAGAACAGTAGGATCAAAACATTATTTTTTTGAGAAAAATATTGATTATTTGATACTAAATTTACCTTAAAGAAAACTATATAGAAAGAAAACAAATGGTACTAGGAGAAAATGAAGTTTTAGATTGGAAAAAAAAAAAGTACACCTCGGAGTATTTAAACTTCTTTCCCATAAAAGTATCCTCTTCTTGGTGACAGAAGACTGAAAAGTAACAGCTTCTGGTATCAAGGATTTATAATCAGAGGGTTAGTATGCAGAATATTTTCAAACAAAATGGGGAGGTGTACAAGTTTAAATTACTCGTGAGTACATTCAGTTTCAAATCTACCGTACTAACATACATCTGAATTGAAATGTTTTGTTCCCTTGATACCACAGCTTTCTTCTCCAGCGCCCTCTCTGTAGGAAATGTAAGTCCTGAATTCCGTGTCGAAGCACACACTAATGGCAGATGTGAGTTGAGCACGTCTGAAGATGGCCGTGGCTTAAATATTGGAAAACTAACTGAGCCCGTGTCTAGCTAGAAAACGAGCCTCTATTTGTACGTGTGGTATTTCAAGGGTATGTGGAGTTACAGAATCCTGGCATTTTAAGTTCTTCAACATGAAGGAAAGAATTCCTGCTACAGACTTGTAAGAAAGCACGCGTGTGAGTGGGAGAGAGCCAGTGGCCTCTGTACAAGACCCCCGCCAGAGCGGAAGGCACTGCTGTGCTGCTGGGGTCTGATATTAAGTAATGCTGCAGAAGATGAGTGCGGGGAGCATGCTCCAGGTGAGACGGGGCTGAGCGCAGGCTTTCCTGACAGAGCCTTCCCTGTGACCCGGATGCGTGTCATTCAGATGACTTTCTGGGAAAGTCTCCAGTGTGCAGAGAGGGAGCGCGGCCTTTCCGTAAGCCATCACTGACCTTGAAGACGTATACTGTCTGAAAGTGGATGTAATAAAGTTCAGTTCTCATTTACCTTGCTGCAGACTTGTAAGAAAGCACGCGTGTGAGTGGGAGAGAGCCAGTGGCCTCTGTACAAGACCCCCGCCAGAGCGGAAGGCACTGCTGTGCTGCTGGGGTCTGATATTAAGTAATGCTGCAGAAGATGAGTGCGGGGAGCATGCTCCAGGTGAGACGGGGCTGAGCGCAGGCTTTCCTGACAGAGCCTTCCCTGTGACCCGGATGCGTGTCATTCAGATGACTTTCTGGGAAAGTCTCCAGTGTGCAGAGAGGGAGCGCGGCCTTTCCGTAAGCCATCACTGACCTTGAAGACGTATACTGTCTGAAAGTGGATGTAATAAAGTTCAGTTCTCATTTACCTGTTACATTTCATTGTATTTTTGTGGGGCTGTTTAAATTCCTAACTTAAACTTACAACGCCATTAAGCTCATTCCTTGCCTGGCTTGTAAATTTCTCCTAATGGTTATTGTCTATTAGAGGGAAAAACACCTCCTAAGAAACCATACCAACCAAAAACGCCTCTACCAATCATTAGCACTAGATTTACAGAAAATCTTAACCACTTTTTCCTGAGTACTGCATTATACACAAAGAAGTCTAATATGACTTAAGATAGTGTCACGTCACCCCCCCCATGACAGAAGGTAACTGCAAAGAAAAATCCTAATATTAGAGGGGAGCTACCATGAGGAGGACTGTGGAAAACTACCCTATCGCCATCCAAAGGACTGGAGGTCTCCCCACGGGAGAGAGCAAGAGGGTTTCTGGGGTATGAGACACACACACCCAACTTCACAGTTCAAGTCCTGGATCTGGAACTCGGAGAATATGCCCGGTGTGTGTGCCCAAAATTCTGAGAGGAGGGAGGAGGAGGGTGATTTCTCACTTTCCCTCTCCAGCGAGTGCGTGTGTCCTATAGAAAAAAACAAACAGAAAATCTTCTCTGTCTGGCAAAGCTATCCTTCAGAATTCAAGGAGAAATAAAATCCCAAACAAAACCTGAGAAAATCATCAATACTAGACCACTTTGAGAAATACCTAAGGGAGTCCTACACCCAGAAGTGAAACATTAAAAACCATCATGAAGGCATGCAAGGTATAAAATTCATCAGTAGACTAATCACACAAATAAAAAAAAGCATCAGCCTTTTCCGCCAGACCAGTTCCATGGCTGATGGTTAACGGAGCCAGGTCCCACATGGCCAGCTACGTGTTCAACCCTAGCCTCAGCAGCTCAAGAAACATGTCAGGTGTGTGTATGAACCCCCAAATCCTGAAAGGACAAAGAACTGAAGGGAATGCAGCCTGGCCAAGCCCTGTCTGGGGTGTCTTCTCCCTCTCTTCTGTCACTCTGGCAAGTACACACTCCCTCCAGCAAAATTGCAAAAAAAACCCCCAAAACCACCATGGAAGACTACCAAGCTACATCGGTAAACGATAACAGAGGATGAAAGGAACAAAAGAAAGGGACTAGAAAACATCAAGGAGCTAGCAGGTGGCATGGTGGCTAAGGCGCTGGACTCCCACCTGGCTGACCATGGTTTGGGCTCCAGACCTGGCAGCTTGCTTTCTCACTTTCCCTCTCCCTCTCTCTGGTCAAATTAAAAAAATAATTCTAGAGGTTGGCAGGCGGTGTGGTGGTTAAGGGCGCTGGACTCCCACGTGGCTGACCACAGGTCGAGTCCCAGACCTGGTGGCTTGCTTTCTCACTTTCTCTCTATGTTCCTCTCTGGTCCAATGAAAATAAAGTTAAATTTAAAAAAAAAAAAATTCTTTAAAAAAATTCTACCAAAAAAAAAAAAGGCAGGAATAAGCATGTACCACAGACTAAATTTCCCAATCAATAGATGTAGAATGGCTATATGGATAAAAACGAAAAACCAAGACTCTACCACGCACTGCCCATAAGAACCTCATCTCATCTGTAGAGACAGAGCCGGAGAACAAAGGGATGGAAAAAGAAGTCCCATTTGAATGTAAACTAAAACCAAGCAGGAGTTGCTCTGATACCAGATAAAACAGACTTCAAGCCAAAATTGGTAAAAAGATAAAGAAGGTCACTAAAATAGTAAAGAGATAAATTCGGCAAGAAGATTTAACAATTGTAACTATACCTCCAGTACAGGAGCACCCAAATACGTGAAACGCTGTCAGACCTAAAGGGAGAAACCGGCTCTGATGGTAAGAGGTGGGGCCTTCCTTGCTGTTGTGGATGCCGGATAACAGCCACACGCCACCCACAGAGACAGACCACGGCCCTGCTGGCCTGAAGCCGTGCCGGAGCAAGTGCTAGGCCCAGGGTACTGCAGTGTGATCAAGCCTCGAGTGCTCTGCTCATGAGCATGTGTGCTGCGTCGTGAATTAAAATGTGTAGAAACTTAGCCGCAGGTGGTGTGGTGAAGGCATCTGGCTCCCACATGGCTGACTATGAGGTTCAAAGCCTGGTCCTGGCAGCTTGGAAAATACTCTGGGCACGTGTGTGTGTGCCCAAAATCATGAGAGGAAAATGGAGAAGGGACCGCAGTGTGGCTATCCCTCCTGGGGGGTGATTTCTCACTTTCCTTCTCTCTTCTCTGACAAAAACTACGCACACACACACACACACACATACACACACACACACACACACACACACGAGTAATGATCATAGTTGGGAATTTCAGTGCCCACCCCTCAGTAATAGACTGGTCATCTGCATAGAAA